TATGGCGCCAGAATAGTAGTACAGACCTCAGGAAATGGAGATTGAATCCTCCAAGGACCTCTGACCCTCGTCCATCTCTCCAGTCTCTGCCATCTGCAGCCCATCCACCAGCACTTAAAAACGTGTTTCCCCTCATTTCCCCACAGTGACTCTGCCTGCTCTCCTCAGCTAGTCTGAGCTCCCCTCTGGTTTCTGAGGCTTCACCAAACGGAAATGACAGCCAGCAGGGAGGGCCCCTTCACCTCAGCCTCCAAGAACCTTGGGGAGCACAAAGGCTAGAGGCCTCAGCAGGCTGTGTGTGTGTGGGGGGAGGGGAATGGAGCTCACCACCCCCACTTCCATCCTAGCAGGGAAGGCAGTGTCTTGGGCAAGACTAAGGGCTACAAACCTCCCAAGGGAGGGGTCACAGTGGAAAGAGAAAGGTACTCTAAACGGAAAACTGTGTGTGAGAGATGGAGGATGTGTTGGCTCCTTTGGGGGAGGAGGGTACTACTGACTTTAGTGGAAAAACCCGTCCTCTATCACAATAGAGGAGATATGACGGAGGGGGTGGCCTTATCAGAACACCCATGGGGTGAAGGGATCAGCCCACAGAAATGTCGCTAATTTTGAGAATATTCCACTTTACAGTTGCAAACAGCTGTAAAGACAGACATTTCTGAAATGCTGTTCACGTCCCTACTTAAATGCAGAAATTTGATGAGTTCAAATTCCTTGGCTAAACCCAGAAGGGTTATGGCATCTGACCCTCACCTCCCTGCCCCACAGACCACCATGCAGTTTTATACCTCCCTGATGGCTGTGGGCAAGAGATTCCTCCTCTTCTTTTCCTAGCTGTCTTTAAAGACGTGGGCCTCCTCCACTCCAGGAAGGCCTTCCTGAATCTTTGAAATACTATCAACATTATTTCGATGCTCATCCACACCTGGGCATGGATGGACCCACAAAACATGTATCTAGAAGAAGCTGTGGCACCAGCAAACAATTAATGAGCATTTACTAGGTGCCAAGCACTCTTCAGGAGTCCTGGTGTGGCACTGTGGGTTAATGCGCTGGACTACAAAGTCGTTTGAATCGCAAGGTGAGTGGTTCCAGCTCACCAGTCACTGCTTGGAAATCCTGTACAGGGTTGCTATGGGTCAGGATTGACTCAACGGCACTCAACAACAACAACAAAGCACTTTTCTAAGCAACCTAGGAGGTTGATACCATTACTAGCCCCATTTTACAGAAGAGGAAATAGAGGCATACAGATCTTCAGAAACTAGTCCAAGATCAGTGAGCAGCCTACCCTCCCACCTCCATAGCCATCACACATACCACTTGTGTGGCATTTAGAGGAAAGCCACTCCCCATCCTTGGTAAGACACACAATCCAGGGCTCCTCTTATTCCAAAAGGAGTCCATTCAAGCATCTGCTCTTGACTTTTCTGGATCCCCAAAAGGAGCCTCAGAGGGAGGTGAATGCATTTCATGTGCTTTTCTACAATCAATTACTTCACCTCTCCTTTCTGTACTATCCCAGCTCGGGTCAGTCAGTCCTATAAGCACCATTTTGACATAGCACCCCATTTTTGTACAAAGACTTTCTTGGGGCTTCATCTCAGCAGCCTGGTTCCTCTGCTCCCCAAAGACTTGCACTTCCCAGCACAGCCCTCCCCCACCACACACACACACAGAGTTCAGAGGCTAAGCCCAATCAGACAGCAAACAGCCAAGTTCAAGATGAAAGCCTGTGGCCCAGGGTCAGGGTCAACCAAGCACAGCATCTAAACCCGAAGGACTGTGTTTCTTTTAACCGTCAGCTATAATTAGGGCAAAACCCCAGGAAAATATTTAGATGCATCAGCCATCAACACCCTTGCACCCCACTCCCACACAACTCCCCCTCCCACTGGGATCTTTTAACACCTGTTAATATCTATGTCAATAATTCCCCTATTACTGTGCAAACCCATTGCCACCCAGTCAATTCTGACTCACAGCAACCATATTATAAGACGGAGTAGAACTACCCCACAAGGTTTCCAAGCTGTAATCTTTATGAACGCACCTGACAGCTTTGAGAGTATGTCTCCGAGGGATGCTCAACTCTCCTTCTCAAGCATTTAAAAGTACATACACAATTTCCAGTGAAAGAAAACCCCCAACCCAGATTGCACCCCTCTTCCAACCATCCTTCCTGCCTCCCCTCCTCACCCCAAGAATTCTTCTAGATAGACTCCTATATGATGACTACAATGTGATTCAGAACCAGCTAAAACACAGAACCTCGGGTGGAAAATGCCCAAGTAGTCATACAGACGGGGAGGATTTGTTGGATTTTTCCCTTTCCTTAAACCAATTTCCTGAGGCTGTGCCCCGAGTCACAGATCAGAAAGCTGAGCAATGCAGATTTCTGCAGCTGAAAAGCTTCCAATAGTTGGTTTTCATTTCTCGGGTTTTTCTTATGAAAGAAGGGGACTTGTCCAGGGTTGAAGTTAGTTTCAGAGTTTAGGGGGGAGATTGGGAATAGGGATGGGGTTACCTTTGTCTCCACACTTGTCCATGATGTTGTCCAGTGCTGTCAAGTCGGTTCCAACTCACAGTGACCCTACGTAGGCTTTCCAAGAAACGGCTAGTGGGTTTGAACCATCGACCTATGGTTAGCAGTCCAGTGCTTATCCTACAGTGCCACACCAGGACTTCATGAACTTGTCCATAATTGTCTCTGAATCACATGGGCCTCCTGAAACCAAAATTCTGTTTCTAAAATTACCTGCTCATTTTTGGAGGGCAACTGTTTATGGACTTTGCGGGACCTCAAAATAAAAGGCATTTTCTTTGTTCAAACACCTTACGGAAGCCGTCTAGCCTCCAAAGCTGCCACCACCAGCTGCACCCGGCTGACTAGCCCCCCCCCACACACACACACACTCACACTCCCCTCCCCTTTTTCCCTTCTCCTCGTGTGTTTTGAAGTTTATTTTCCCACATTTAGCCTTGAATTCTTTCCTTCCTTCCCTTGCAGTGGCTGAGGAGCAGCGAAGAGGGAAACACTTCGAGGGCAGCTCAAGGCTTTATCATCTCCGTCTGCTCTCTTCCCCCTCAAAACAAAGCCCTGGAACAAACTAAACAAAAACTCATTCTCTGGAGGAATTGTTTCCTCAAGGGAAATTATAAAGTGACTCCTTCCCCCAACACATGCACACTGCAGACCCGGGTCAGAAGGAACCTGCAGCATCCCAACTCTCCTGCTATTAGATGCTAAATCAACCAACTGCCTGCTTAAGTATCCCACTTGTTGTTAAGTGCCGTTGAGTCGGTTCCGACCCATAGCGACCCTGTACAGGGTTTCCGAGGGTGTAAATCTTTATGGGAGTAGAAAGCCTCATCTTTCTCCCGAGGAACGGCTGGTAGTTTCGAACCACTGACCTTAAGGTTCGCAGCCCGATTCGTAACCACTACGCTACCCACTATCACCTCCCAAATGTGGGAACTGCTACAGGATAAGAAACTCTTGCTAGTAAAACCTGGTCTGCACCTCTCTTCATTGGGCTCCCTGGCTGCTGCTGAGCATTTATATGTTCAAAGCCAAGGAGCTAGAAAGTCCCCCAGAGGCACCCAGAGTCTTGCTGTGGCGCTGTGGAAGAATGCACTGGACTGCAAAGTCAGTTTGAACCACCAAGGCCAGTGGTTCAAACTCACCAGTGGCTCCTCATAAACCCTATACAGGGTTGCTATGGGTCGTAACTGACTCTACCACACTTAACAAGAGGCACCCAAGAAGCAAGAACTGGCAATCTACTACTGAAACATCAGTCACTGAAAACTTTATGGAGCACAGTTTTACTCTGATACACATGAGTTTACTATAAGTGGGAATCTATTCAACCACAAATGGATTTTACTGTCAAGACATCCTCATGTTTTCCAAATGCTTTCGGCCTCACAGCAGTCCAGGGCAGGAAAGTGTGAATGTTAATTTTCACTTTACATATTGGGTTAATTCCCATTTTACAAACGGGGAAAGAGAGGCCAGGAAAGTGAGATGCAATTACATAAAGCATAAGATGTTGGAGCGTATGGATTAAACGATGTTCCTGATGTATTTTCACACCAACTCCACTCCACAATCTAGAGCTTCACTGGGTCTCACCCACATCCTGGTTGCTCCATTGGGAAGGGGCCACTAGTATAGGTGGAGAATTTAGAAACTGGGTGAGGGCCTGGGTTCCCAAACTGGCACGGAGTGCTTATCTGAGTGAGAGATAAACAGTGTACCCAGTGAAGATAAACGACTCCGATACCACCTCCCATTCCGCACACCCTTTCTCCCTACTCCTGAGAATCGTCCGTTTGATGAACCTACTTGCTCTCACCAACTTTAACTCCAAGAGCGGCTGTCGCGGCAAAATAAGCTGTCCCGGAAGCTAGAGCCGGTCCCCAGCATTCCAGCCTGCAACCCTCAAGCCACAGGCTCAGGCAGTTCCCCCCGCCCCTCCGAGGCTCTTTGGGGGCAGAGGGCTTTGCCCAGACTTGGGCTTGAAAGACCCTCCTGCAGCTCCGCCGGGTTCACGTTCCAGTAGAAACCGCGCGGACGCGGCACTGGCCCGGGAGCCCAAAGGTGGAGACGAGAGAGGGTGGTAACCCGCTAGGCTCCGGGACTCCGGGAGCGTCTCCAAGAAAAGATAAACGTCTTTATCCGCCCCACAGCCTCCCTCCAAGTAGGGAGGCACCCGCACAGCCATACCGAGGGACCGCGGAGGCAGGGCTCAGTTCACCTGGGGTCAACCCAAAGTTCTCTAGGGCAAGCTGGACCCCAACGAGTCTCCATGCGTGGCGGTCCCTTATAGCCGGGAGAGGAACATTCTCGGATCCAAGCTGGGACGTCCTCTCCCTGTCACCCCAGGGGCTCCCACAGGGCCCGGGCCATTAAAGTTGCGGGGTGCTTCGCTTTAGCACCTCTAAACTTCAGCTAGCTTCAGGTAAACGTCGAAGGGGTGCAGGCAGCGACTCACCTGCAGGATCTTGTCCAGGCCCTCCTGACCCAGGCACGGAAACTCCTTGAGCAGCTGCAACTTATTCGTGTAGTACTCTTTCTTAGCCTCTTTCCAGTGCGGCTCCTCAAGCACTTCGAAGATCGCCGCCCCAATGGACAGGTAGAAGATGATGGCCGAGGTGAGCAGAGGGCCCCGGTCCACCATGGCTCTCCAGTGGCCGCCGCCTGAAGAAAGCCTACCCCAGCCCTTGTGGCTCTGGGTCCACCCACCGTTTCAGCCTCTGGAAACAGCTGTTTGAATTTGGAGCTCCGCATGCGCAGTGCCCCGACCCCCCCAAAGCTGCTGGCAGACAAAGTTGCTCGGGCAAGTTGGCCCACTGCACGCAGAGAAGTGCGCAGGACCCACTTAACGTGGGCCAGGGGTAAGCGGACACCAAGGGGTCGAGAGGGCGCCTTGGACAGCGCACAAGCGCAAGGAGCAGGGAAAACCCAGAACTCAACTCAATGAAGACACGTGGGCCGCTCCTCCGCGCGCCACTAGGCGACTGCGTAGCGCCCGCCTCCTCGCGCCTCTTTAACCAGCTCTGCGCGCTCTCTGCCCGCCCGCTCCAGACCCGGGCGAGGGAAGGGCTCGCGTAGGCCCCGCCCCACGCAGGTCCCGCACAGGCTCCGCCCCCGCAGAGTTGCCCGCGAGTCACCAAGAGGTGCGCGCTGGAAGGAGCCCGGCGCTCTCTGCGCGCTCCCGGGGGCTGCCGCCAGGGGAGGCTTCGCTGCCAGCCCCGACCTCCGAGCCTTGCAATTGCTTGCGGTTGCTGGGAGTCCTGTGGTGTTAATGTATTTACTAAAATAATTGTGTGCCTTATTACTGAGGTCAGGAATTTATTTCTATTGTAATTTTTATTGTAGTTCCATTTTCATTTGCTGATATCTCTTCCAAAAAAGTTTCTGTCTCTATCTCACTCACACACTCTGAAATACCCATGTATAAACCTGATGCAAAAAAACAACACTGCTGTCGAATCCGCTCCGATTCATAACAAACCTGAAGGCACAGTAGAACTGTCCCACAGGCTGTCGAAGTATCCAAGGCAGAAAAATCTGCGAAAGCAAATTGCCACATTCCCTCCCACACACACCACGAAGTAGTGGGTTTGAACCACTGAACTTTCAGTTTGTCAAAAGGGGTTGAGAGATCTTAGGGAATCAGAGGCTATTAGGAACGAATTCAATCACAGACACCTGCATTTTCCAACATCTGGAAGGTGCTGTGAAGACCAGCACTGTCTGGGCCCTCCACCCCCATCTACACACACACACACACACACACACGCACACGCACGCACGCACGCACACAGAGTTTGTAACTTTGCAGGTAAAAAAACATCACCTTTTTCTTATTCCCAAATCGATTTAAAATTGTAACCCTCCTCCCACCCTACTTCACCCCCCCCCACACACACACACAAACACAAACATTCATGGCCCTTCTAATACTAAATATCCTCTAATATACTGGTGGTGGTGGTGGTGGTGGTAATGGTTGTGTGCCATGGAGTCGTTTCGACTCATAACGACTCTGTATAGTGTTTCTAAGTATGTAAATCTTTTCTGGGAGCAGAAAGCCTTATCTTTCTTCCACTGAAGTGGCTCGTAGTTTAGAATTGCTGACCAAGTTAGCAGACCGAACTCGTAACCACTATGCTACCAGTGCTCCTTCTAATATACTGTATTTGTTTTACTATGCTTCCCCGTCCTGCCGCCCTCACACACACACACACACACACACACACACACACACACGCTGGAATGTCAGCTGAGAGACTGGTACTGGGGGTTCTGTTTCGTTCACTGATGTGATATCCACAGTGCCTGGTACAAAACAGACACTCAGTGTAACATTTATGCAGCACATGAATGAGTGGATTTGTCAAAAATACATTTCTCCTCCCAGGATATTTCTCAGTCGCCTCATCTTATGATCTTTTATTGAGTATGTATAAACCCTAGGCGGTAATACATCCTTTCTCCCCAAATTAGCCTGCTCTTCTCTAACCCTTTCGGTCCTACCCAGCCTACACCACAGACTGTGACTTGAACCCCATTACCACAGCCTGACTCTCCATCCCTTTAGCCAGGCTTCTCTTCCAGGTCCCCCTCTGTGAATGGGGCCCCCCATTCATTGTGAGCAAGTCAGGGTCTGCGGAGTGAACAGTTAGCCCACCCAGCATGGGGTGGGGGCACTTGAGAGGCTACAGGCTCTCTCTTTGTTTGGAAAATTCTCTGCCATTCTGCTCCCACCTCCTGTCTATATTCTCTTCCTAAGAAAATAAAGGGCCTCTTCCTATTTCAGCTTCACTACCTCTTAAAAAATCTGTAGATTACTTTGGGATAAATAGATTTTTATTTGAAGCTTTAAAATGTCTAGTTTCTGTATCCTTCCATTTAACGATTTCTCCAGCTCCTACCCCATCCTCTTTCTTTCTCTCTCCTCATCCTCACTTTTTCTTGACCTTTCCCTTGTCCTTGTTAGCTATGGCTCAGGCACCCCTTCCTCATTCCCTCCCCCATTCATGACTCATAGCAACCCCATGCACAACTGAAGGAAACGCTGCAAGGTGCGGTACCATCCCTATGATCAACTATAAATTAGACTGGTGCAATCAACTGATTTCGTTGACTGATTTTCAGAATTAGATTGCCAGCCCTTTATTTCTAATTCCTTTTGGTCTGGAAACTCCGCTAACTCTATTCACTATCATAGCAACACAAAAGTCTCCACTGAGAGTAACTGCACTGAAAGTGCATTGGCCATGGATCAAGCCCAGGTCACCAGCATGGGAGTGGAAAATTCTACAACGGAACCACCAATGCCCTCATGCTCTTTTCTGCCCATATTTGCCTTTACCTCACTCAATTCTTCCTGTCTCTTTCCTTTGTCTTTACCCAGGTGGAAGTTGCTTCTCCTCTCTCATCTTTCTCCCCTCTCCCACCCGCCTGTTCCCAAGCACATATTTGGATGAACAATTTTCAATGAACAATATAGATGAACAACATGTGCTAGCTCCATTCTATACACTACAGTCAGTGGGGACTCTTCAGAATATAGAAAGTATTGAAACCAATGAATGTTCAGACAAGCATGAGTCAAAGATGAAAAAGCAAGAAGTAGGTATACTGAATCATGGGGAGGTTATGGACTAGGGGGCTTCAAAAAGTTCCTAGAATTTCAAGATACTGGAATTTTCCCACAAACTTTTTTGAAGCCTCATTGTATTTTCTTACACTACTGATAAATTTGTTCTTTTTATTGTTGGGTGCTATCCAGTTAGTTCCAATTCACAGTGACCCTATGCATGAAAGAAGGAAACAGGTTCTGGTCCTGCCTCATCCTCACAATTGGTGTTAGCCTAAGGCCCACTTGTGGCTACTGCCACCATGTCAATCCATCTTGTAGAGGCTCTTTCTTTCTTTCACTGACCCTCCATTTCACCAAGTATGATGTCTTTCTCCAGAGACTGGCCCTTTCTGATAATAAGTACAAAGTCTCCACATTCTGGCTTCTAAGGAGTATTCCGGCTATATTTTTTCCAACACAGATTTGTTCTTTTGACAGTCCGTGGTACTTTGTGAAAGCCATAAATCATATTTATGGATTCTTCTAAGGTCTACCTTATTCACTCTCCAACTTTCACATGCATGTGAGGCAATTGAAAATACCACGGCTTGCATCAGGTGTACCTTAGTCCTCAAAGTGACATCTTTGCTCTTTAACACTTTTAAGCGGTCTTTTGCAGGAGATTTAACTAATTCAATATGTCACTTGATTCCATCTTACAGCTTATCTTATTTCTGATTATTATACTTATTGTTATGGCTAATAATCACTTTAAAATGCCATCTCTTGAAAGACAGTCAGCTTTAATTTGGATTTAAGGTTCACCTCGGTAGCAGTGACAGACAGAACCAAGGTCCCATCCCTAGAAATTGGCAAATAAGTCATTTCCTCAGGGAAATGACCTTAAGGTCAGGCTCCCAGGCTCCAACTACAGAAGAATTCTTCCTTATATCAATTAGGTGAAAGGGTTACCTGATTGATGAAAAGCAATATTAGTAATTTTTCATTATGCTCAGACACTATTGGTTTATGTCTGTTTACCCACTACCTTTCACTCACAAGAAATCCTACAGGACAGAATCGAACTGACCCATAAGGTTTCCGAAGTGGTAAATCTTTGTAAGAGCTGACAGCCATATCAGTCTCCCAAGGAGCAAATGGTAGGTTCGAACCTCTGACATTTCAGTCTAATGCTTAACCCACTGTACTACCAGGGCTCCTTTATTCATGTTTAGAATCAATATTTCTATTTTTTGTTTTATATTGTTTAGGAATTTCAGAGGAATGTCCCTCAGAATTTCATGTCTGAGCAAAAGAGACAAAAAAATTCAATATGAAAATAATTTCTGTCACTGATTTGCATATAATGAAAATTAAATGGCAAATGTTTCTTATATGTATATTATTATTACATTTTAAAAAGCCACCAAGAGCATGATGGCGTTCAACAGTACATCCACTTGAAAGTCTTGTTTCCTTAATTCAAAAAAGAAAAAACTTTATAACTCTTAATTTAAAAAAATCTGAAAGATTTAATGTTTATTCTTATTATATTACTTGAAAGACAGACAGCATTAACCGCCTTATAAAGTAGCTTGCCTTATGAAAGATCACCTATTATTTTGTAAGCCTCCTGTATTTCTAATGGATCATTTGGAAACATTCAGTTAAGTTTTCATGTGTACAAATTCTGTACTTAACTAAACTACAATGTTTCCCGAGTGTCAAATTTAATGTACTTGATGAGGTAACCTTTGAACATTCATGTTTTATGCTAGGAAAGGCAAAATAAAATTACAGAACATTAATTCATGTAGTTGTAGTAAAAAATATTTAGAACTTATAAATATAATTTAAGATACTTGAGGTTACAAGAATTCTCTTGGTATTGAATCTCATCATTGGTGTTATGTGCCATGGAGTCAGTTCTGACTCATAATGACCCAGTCATTATGGGAGCTGAAAGCCTCATCTTTCTCCCACAGAACAGCTGGTAGTTTCAAACTGCTGACCTTGAGGTTAGCAGCCCAACTCCTAACCACTACACTAAAAGCCAGGCTATTTTGTCAAGGCTTCTGTTACTCTTAACATCGAAACTACATGTCCTTCACTCTGAAAACCAGTTAAGCTGTGGAGAAACATAGCTTTGTAGGATAAAAGCAGAGCTTGAATACTGATTCTGAAATGT